ATTTTTATAGTTTAAGTTTTCCATGTCTGCTAAGTAGTCCACCTTACTCTCACAAGTGTAAGTACCTTTGCACACAAACACATGTTTAAACTTATTACTAGTTTAGTCTTGAGTTGGACAAAGAGGAGGGAGCATCAAATTAGTTTGTTTATTTACTAATAAAGAGTTTATAACGGTAACTATTCTTAAGAGTAAATATGATTAAAAGAAGTATGTTTATTGGTAGACATTTGATTTTTTTGTTTACATACTACATACTTAATTTAGCAACTGTGTTTTAAGTATAAGGTTGATTGAAGGTCAGTAAGAGTTTATTTTTCAACACAATTAAAATTTTGAATTAAAAGAGATCTAAAATTATAAAAATTTAAAAAAAGTAAATGAGTTTGATAGATTTTTAAATAAAAGTGCTACTAGGCGTATGATTGTTGGCGGAAAAATGTTAATAATAAGCTTAAATAACGATTTAAATAACTGTAGAAAAACACTTTCTAGTAGATATATTTGTATTTATTTGTATCAAACATTTGTCTACACATTTATAATCAACATTCAACCAGCAACTATCTTTCTTATATATCACCTCCCCCATCCTAAAACATGTTATTCCCCTCCATTATAAACATGTCATTCCATAGTGCTATAATGATTACAATCTATATGACTATACTTACTACTCCTTTCAACAATACAAATCCCTCCTCCTTCACTTTTCCTAAATAACGTTCTACTTTAGACTTTATAAACAATATAACTGAATGACTGGCAGACTGACTTGCCTATAATCTCTACATATGTATGTAAGTATATGTGTTCATGTACCAAATCTTTTGTTATAACATTTCTTCTATTTGTGTTCATATGAATGTATGAGAATCTCTAAACATATTGTACGAATTGTAAGTAACCTGCTACATCATATCCTGTCTTGTTGTAAATTCTATTGTTCTAAATTTCTTGATAGAAATTGAATGAAGAATGATAGCTTAAATTATTATCAAGAACAAGAAGTAGAACAACAACAAAATGTATAGTAACCATTGTTAAAAATAAACAAAAGTTTAAAATACACATGTAGACATACTTAAGTTATAAACTTTTTATAAAGGTTTTTACAAAATGTGTGTTTTCAACAGCAAATTAAGATTTTTTTTGCTAATTTACAAAAATGTGGAATAATAATAGAAGTTAAAATAGACTAGACTATAGGACTAAATAAGACTATAGACTAGACTATAGACTAGACTATAGACTAGACTATAGACTAGACTATAGACTAGACTATAGACTAACCATAGACTAGACTATAGACTAGACTATAGACTAGACTATAGACTAGACTATAGACTAGACTATAGACTAGACTATAGACTAGACTATAGACTAGACTATAGACTAGACTATAGACTAGACTATAGACTAGACTATAGACTAGACTATAGACTAGACTATAGACTAGACTATAGACTAGACTATAGACTAGACTAGACTAGACTATAGACTAGACTATAGACTAGACTATAGACTTGACTATAGACTAGACTATAGATTAGACTATAGACTAGACTATAGACTAGACTATAGACTAGACTATAGACTAGACTATAGACTAGACTATAGACTAGACTATAGACTAGACTATATAGACTATAGACTAGACTATAGACTAGACTATAGACTAGACTATAGACTAGACTATAGACTAGACTATAGACTAGACTATAGACTAGACTATAGACTAGACTATAGACTAGACTATAGACTAGACTATAGACTAGACTATAGACTAGACTATAGACTAGACTATAGACTAGACTATAGACTAGACTATAGACTAGACTATAGACTAGACTATAGACTAGACTATAGACTAGACTATAGACTAGACTATAGACTAGACTATAGACTACTAGACTATAGACTAGACTATAGACTAGACTATAGACTAGACTATAGACTAGACTATAGACTAGACTATAGACTAGACTATAGACTAGACTATAGACTAGACTATAGACTAGACTATAGACTAGACTATAGACTAGACTATAGACTAGACTATAGACTAGACTATAGACTAGACTATAGACTAGACTATAGACTAGACTATAGACTAGACTATAGACTAGACTATAGACTAGACTATAGACTAGACTATAGACTAGACTATAGACTAGACTATAGACTAGACTATAGACTAGACTATAGACTAGACTATAGACTAGACTATAGACTAGACTATAGACTAGACTATAGACTAGACTATAGACTAGACTATAGACTAGACTATAGACTAGACTAGACTCGACTAGACTAGACTATAGACTAGACTATAGACTAGACTATAGACTAGACTATAGACTAGACTATAGACTAGACTATAGACTAGACTATAGACTAGACTATAGACTAGACTATAGACTAGACTATAGACTAGACTATAGACTAGACTATAGACTAGACTATAGACTAGACTATAGACTAGACTATAGACTAGACTATAGACTAGACTATAGACTAGACTATAGACTAGACTATAGACTAGACTATAGACTAGACTATAGACTAGACTATAGACTAGACTATAGACTAGACTATAGACTAGACTATAGACTAGACTATAGACTAGACTATAGACTAGACTATAGACTAGACTATAGACTAGACTATAGACTAGACTATAGACTAGACTATAGACTAGACTATAGACTAGACTATAGACTAGACTATAGACTAGACTATAGACTAGACTATAGACTAGACTATAGACTAGACTATAGACTAGACTATAGACTAGACTATAGACTAGACTATAGACTAGACTATAGACTAGACTATAGACTAGACTATAGACTAGACTATAGACTAGACTATAGACTAGATATAGACTAGACTATAGACTAGACTATAGACTAGACTATAGACTAGACTATAGACTAGACTATAGACTAGACTATAGACTAGACTATAGACTAGACTATAGACTAGACTGTAGACTAGACTATAGACTAGACTGTAGACTAGACTATAGACTAGACTATAGACTAGACTATAGACTAGACTATAGACGAGACTATAGACTAGACTATAGACTAGACTATAGACTAGACTATAGACTAGACTATAGACTAGACTATAGACTAGACTATAGACTAGACTATAGACTAGACTATAGACTAGACTATAGACTAGACTATAGACTAGACTATAGACTAGACTATAGACTAGACTAGACTAGACTATAGACTAGACTAGACTATAGACTAGACTATAGACTAGACTATAGACTAGACTATAGACTAGACTATAGACTAGACTATAGACTAGACTATAGACTAGACTATAGACTAGACTATAGACTAGACTATAGACTAGACTATAGACTAGACTATAGACTAGACTATAGACTAGACTATAGACTAGACTATAAACTAGACTATAGACTAGACTATAGACTAGACTATAGACTAGACTATAGACTAGACTATAGACTAGACTATAGACTAGACTATAGACTAGACTATAGACTAGACTATAGACTAGACTATAGACTAGACTATAGACTAGACTATAGACTAGACTATAGACTAGACTATAGACTAGACTATAGACTAGTCTATAGACTAGACTATAGACTAGACTATAGACTAGACTATAGACTAGACTATAGACTAGACTATAGACTAGACTATAGACTAGACTATAGACTAGACTATAGACTAGACTATAGACTAGACTATAGACTAGACTATAGACTAGACTATAGACTAGACTATAGACTAGACTATAGACTAGACTATAGACTAGACTATAGACTAGACTATAGATTTAACTACTTTTAATTTATTTTTATTAAAACACCCTTTTTTATGCTACACAAAAAGCTAACAAATGAACATAGTTTTGTTTTACTACCTCTCTCCCAACATCCTGTTAATCTACATTTCTATACATCATATTAAAAAAGTATAAACAGGTAAGATAGTATTTACTTATGTGTGTGTAAATAACACACTTATTATTTGTCACAGGTTGCCTTGAGAAACAAAAGAGAGAAACAACAAACCAAACATACTTTTCTCCTTTTTCCCCAATACAACAAGAGACAGCTATAAATAAGTGGGACTATGTATGAGTATGTGTTTAACATGTCCTTGCGCATTCTCTGGTAACTTGTCTTGTCTTCTATTGTATATATGTTGTAGTTGTTTTGTTATTTTATATTTTTAATGGAACTTAAATCCATTTTTCTGCTTTTAACAATTATTGTTGCTGTATATGTAGGAGGAAAGAATGAAAGGAATACAGAATATTGTTGAAAATATCAAAATGTTATCCTTATAATGGCAGAAGCTTTTTCTCAGATTTGTTATATGTTGTTGACAATTGTTATTGTTTCAGATTGTCAATATGTTGCTGAGTACTTAACTTATAAGAGTGTGTGTTTTTGTGTGGGATAAAGTGAGGGGGAAAATATGTCCTTAATATTGAGTTGAGTGTGTGTAGCTTTTCCTTTTAAAAGTCTTGTTTATAGTTGTGTGTTATAGGAGGTTTTCTAGAATATAACAGGGTCCTTAGAAATCTAGGATAATTTAAGTTTAGTTACAATGTTATGTTGGTATTACCCTGTTTTTCATTAAACCACAAAATTGACTCAATTCTCTGGAAAAAGGGAGTTGGGGTGTACATTTCCCTTGTATTACTTTCTGTAATTTTACTTCATTGAGTTACTTACATCCTTAAGTATCTTCATACATTTGCTACAAATGTAAATGACAACTGTCTTTCTATTAGTAATATTCTTACAATATTATTCTTTAGCAAGAGCTCTTGTTTTTGGTTACTATTATTGTAGTCCTTGTTCAACAAATTGAAATTATCCTTGTCATTAGCAACCGTTACAACATTTTTCAATGGTTTAGTAAATATTTGAAAAGTGAAAGGTAATTAATATTGATTTAAATTATTTACGCTTTTTCTTCTTTTCTTTTTATTTGAAGGAGCCGAATGGAAACTTTTAACCGAAGAAGAAAAACGTCCATTTATTGATGAAGCCAAGAGGCTGAGGTAGGTGTAGCAACCAACAATATCCCTACATTTCTGTAAAATTCGTTTAAATTTTCTTTATCTTAGAGCCATGCATATGAAAGAACATCCCGATTATAAATATCGACCGAGAAGAAAACCCAAGGCTTTGAGAAGAGATGGTTATCCCTATCCAATGCCATATCCATCGGTACCAGTAGAGGCTTTAAGGGCAGGTAAGTCACATACTATAAATTAAATCAAATTTTATAAATAATTAAACGAAAACCTACAGTCTACAAAAGGTTACTAAACCCTCTAAAGTTCGCTTTTTGAGTGAAAACATAAAAGTCCATTTTCTGGCTAAATTAGAAGAGTTACGGCCTAAAGGATGAAAATCTGTGATCACTTCTAAATCCTACCAAAATTCGATTTATTAAGTGAAAACATAAAAGTCCATTTTCTGGCTAAACTATAAGAGCTACGGCCTAAAGGATGAAAATCTGTGATCACTTCTAAATCCTACCAAAATTCGATTTTTTGGGGTGAAAACATAAAAGTCCATTTTCTGGCTAAACTAGAAGAGCTACGGCCTAAAGGATGAAAATCTGTGATCACTTTTATTTCCTACCAAAATTCGATTTTTTGAGTGAAAACATAAAAGTCCATTTTCTGGCTAAACTAGAAGAGCTACGGCCTAAAGGATGAAAATCTGTGATCATTTTTATTTCCCACCAAATTCGATTTATTGAGTGAAACATAAAAGTCCATTTTCTGGGTAAACTAGAAGAGCTACGGCCTAAAGAGTGAAAATCTGTGATCAATTCTAAATCCTCCAAAATTCGAGTTTTTGAGTGAAAACATAAAAGTCCATTTTCTGGCTAAACTAGAAGAGCTACGACATAAAGGATAAAAATCTGTGATCACTTCTAAATCCCACCAAAATTCGATTTTTTGAGTGAAAACATAAAAGTCCATTTTCTGGCTAAACTAGAAGAGATAGGAGCAAAAGAATGAAAATCTGTGATCACTTTTATTTCCTACCAAAATTCGACTTTTTGAGTGAAAACATAAAAGTCTATTTTCTGGCTAAACTAGAAGACCTACGACCTAAAGGATAAAAAATCTTTGATCACTTCTAAATCCATCAAAAATTCGATTTTTTTAGTGAAAACATAAAAGTCCATTTTCTGGCTAAACTAGAAGAGATAGGAGCAAAAGAATGAAAATCTGTGATCACTTTTATTTCCTACCAAAATTCGATTTTTTGAGTGAAAACATAAATGTCCAATTTCTGGCTAAACTAGAAGAGCTACGGCCTAAAGGATGAAAATCTGTGATCACTTCTAAATCCTTCCAAAATTCGATTTTTCGAGTGAAAACATAAAAGTCCATTTTCTGGCTAAACTAGAAGAGCTACGGCCTAAAGGATGAAAATCTGTGATAATTTTTATTTCCTACCAAAATTCGATTTTTAGAGTGAAAGCATAAAAGTCCATTTTCTGGCTAAACTAGAAGAGCTACGGCCTAAAGGATGAAAATCTGTGATCACTTCTAAACTAGAAGAGCTACGGCCTAAAGGATGAAAATCTGTGATCACTTCTAAATCCCACCAAAATTCGATTTTTTGAGTGAAAACATAAAAGTCCATTTTCTGGCTAAACTAGAAGAGCTACGGCCTAAAGGATGAAAATCTGTGATCACTTCTAAATCCCTCCAAAGTTCGATTTTTTTGAGTGAAAACACAAAAGTCCATTTTCTGGCTAAACTAGAAGAGCTACGGCCTAAAGGATGAAAATCTGTGATCACTTCTACATCCTTCCAAAATTCGATTTTTTGAGTGAAAACATAAAAGTCCATTTTCTGGCTAAACTAGAAGAGCTAAGGCCTAAAGCATGAAAATCTGTGATCACTTCTAAATCCCACCAAAATTCGATTTTTTGAGTGAAAACATAAAAGTCCATTTTCTGACCAAACTAGAAAAGCTACGGCCTAAAGGATGAAAATCTGTGATCACTTCTAAATCCCACCAAAATTCGATTTTTTTTGAGTGAAAACACACTACGGCCTAAAGGATGAAAATCTGTGATCACTTCTACATCCTTCCAAAATTCGATTTTTTGAGTGAAAACATAAAAGTCCATTTTCTGGCTAAACTAGAAGAGCTACGGCCTAAAGCATGAAAATCTGTGATCACTTCTAAGTCCCACCAAAATTCGATTTTTTGAGTGAAAATATAAAAGTCCATTTTCTGGCTAAACTAGAAGAGCTATGGCCTAAAGGATGAAAATCTGTGATCACTTCTAAATCCCACCAAAAATCGATTTTTTGAGTGAAAACATAAAAGTCCATTTTCTGGCTAAACTAGAAGAGCTACGGCCTAAAGGATGAAAATCTGTGATCACTTTTATTTCCTTCAAAAATTCGATTTTTTGAGTGAAAACACAAAGGTCCATTTTCTGGCTAAACTAGAAGAGCTACGGCTAAATCCCACCAAAATTCGATTTTTGAGTGAAAACATAAAAGTCCATTTTCTGGCTAAACTAGAAGAGCTACGGCCTAAAGGATGAAAATCTGTGATCACCTCTAAATCCCTCAAAAATTCGATTTTTTGAGTCAAAACATAAAAGTCTATTTTCTGGCTAAACTAGAAGAGCTACGGCCTAAAGGATGAAAATCTGTGATCACTTCTAAATCCTTCCAAAATTCGACTTTTTGAGTGAAATCATAAAAGTCCATTTTCTGGCTAAACTAGAAGAGCTACGGCTTAAAGGATGAAAATCTGTGATCACCTTTAAATCCTTCCAAAATTCGATTTTTGAGTGAAAACATAAAAGTCAATTTTCTGGCTAAACTAGAAGAGCTACGGCCTAAAGGATAAAAATCTGTGATCACTTCTAAATCCTTCCGATTTTCGATTTTTTTAGTGAAAACATAAAAGTCCATTTTCTGGCTAAACTAGAAGAGCTACGGCCTAAAGGAGGAAAATCTGTGATCACTTCTAAAATCCTTCCAAAATTCGATTTTTTTAGTGAAACATAAAAGTCCCTTTTTTGGCTAAACTAGAAGAGCTACGGCCTAAAGGATGAAAATCTGTGATCACTTCTAAATCCTTCCAAAATTCGATTTTTGAGTGAAAACATAAAAGTCCATTTTCTGGCTAGAAGAGCTACGGCCTAAAGTATTAAAATCTGTGATCACTTCTAAATCCTTCCAAAATTCGATTTTTTGAGTGAAAACATAAAAGTCCATTTTCTGGCTAAACTAGAAGAGCTACGGCCTAAAGGATGAAAATCTGTGATCACTTCTAAATCCGTCAAAAATTCGATTTTGTGAGTGAAAACACAAAAGTCCATTTTCTGGCTAAACTAGAAGAGCTACGGCCTAAAGGATGAAAATCTGTGATCACTTGTAAATCCTACCAAAATTCGATTTTTTGAGTGAAAACATAAAAGTCCATTTTCTGGCTAAACTAGAAGAGATAGAAGCAAAAGAATGAAAATCTGTGATCACCTCTAAATCCTTCCAAAATTCGATTTTTTGAGTGAAAACATAAAAGTCCATTTTCTGGCTAAACTAGAAGAACTACGGCCTAAAGGATGAAAATCTGTGATCACTTGTAAATCCTTCCAAAATTCGATTTTTTGAGTGAAAACATAAAAGTCCATTTTCTGGCTAAACTAGAAGAGCTACGGCCTTAAGGATGAAAATCTGTGATCACTTCTAAATTCTTCCAAAATTCGATTTTTTGAGTGAAAACATAAAAGTCCATTTTCTGGCTAAACTAGAAGAGATAGAAGCAAAAGAATGAAAATCTGTGATCACCTCTAAATCCTTCCAAAATTCCATTTTTTGAGTGAAAACATAAAAGTCCATTTCTGGCTAAACTAGAAGAGCTACGGCCTTAAGGATGAAAATCTGTGATCACTTCTAAATTCTTCCAAAATTCGATTTTTTGAGTGAAAACATAAAAGTCCATTTTCTGGCTAAACTAGAAGAGATAGAAGCAAAAGAATGAAAATCTGTGATCACCTCTAAATCCTTCCAAAATTCCATTTTTTGAGTGAAAACATAAAAGTCCATTTTCTGGCTAAACTAGAAGAGATACGGCCTAAAGGATGAAAATCTGTGATCACTTCTAAATCCTTCCAAAATTCGATTTTTTGAGGTGAAAACATAAAAGTCCATTTTCTAGCTAAACTAGAAGAGCTACGGCATAAAGGATGAAAATCTGTGATCACTTCTAAATCCCTCAAAATTCGATTTTGTGAGTGAAAACATAAAAGTCCAATTTCTGGCTAAACTAGAAGAGCTACGGCCTAAAGGATGAAAATCTGTGATCACTTCTAAATCCCTCAAAAATTCGATTTTGTGAGTGAAAACATAAAAGTCCAATTTCTGGCTAAACTAGAAGAGCTACGGCCTAAAGGATGAAAATCTGTGATCATTTCTAAATCCTTCCAAAATTCGATTTTTCGAGTGAAAACATAAAAGTCCATTTTTCTGGCTAAACTAGAAGAGCTACGGCCTAAAGGATGAAAATCTGTGATCACTTTTATTTCCCACCAAAATTCAATTTTTTTTAATGAAACATAAAAAGTCCATTTTCTAGCCAAACTAGAAGAGCTACGGCCTAAAGGATGAAAATCTGTGATCACTTCTAAATCCCTCAAAAATTCGATTTTGTGAGTGAAACATAAAAGTCCAATTTCTGGCTAAACTAGAAGAGCTACGGCCTAAAGGATGAAAATCTGTGATCACTTCTAAATCCTTCCAAAATTCGATTTTTCGAGTGAAACATAAAAGTCCATTTTCTGGCTAAACTAGAAGAGCTACGGCCTAAAGGATGAAAATCTGTGATCACTTTTATCCCCAAAATTCAATTTTTTTAATGAAAACATAAAAGTCCATTTCTAGCTAAACTAGAAGAGCTACGGCCTAAAGGATGAAAATCTGTGATCACTTCTAAATCCTCAAAATTCGATTTTTTAGTGAAAACATAAAAGTCCAATTTCTGGCTAAACTAGAAGAGCTACGGCCTAAAGGATGAAAATCTGTGATCACTTCTAAATCCTTCCAAAATTCGATTTTTTGGGAGAAACATAAAAGTCCATTTTCTGGCTAAACTAGAAGAGCTACGGCCTAAAGGATGAAAATCTGTGATCACTTCTAAATCCCTCAAAAATTCGATTTTTGAGTGAAAACATAAAAGTCCATTTTCTGGCTAAACTAGAAGAGCTAAGGCCTAAAGGATAAAAATCTGTGATCACTCTAAATCCTCAAAATTCGATTTTTTGAGCGAAAACATAAAAGTCTATTTTCTGGCTAAACTAGAAGAGCTACGGCCTAAAGATGAAAATCTGTGATCACTTCTAAATCTTCCAAAATTCGATTTTTTGAGTGAAAACATAAAAGTCATTTTCTGGCTAAACTAGAAGAGATAAGCAAAAGAATGAAAATCTGTGATCACCTCTAAATCCTTCCAAAATTCCATTTTTTAGTGAAAACATAAAAGTCCATTTTCTGGCTAAACTAGAAGAGATAAGAGCAAAAGAATGAAAATCTGTGATCACTTCTAAATCCTTCCAAAATTCGATCTTTTTAGTGAAAACATAAAAGTCCATTTTCTGGCTAACTAGAAGAGCTACGGCCTAAAGGATGAAAATCTGTGATCACTTTTATTTCCCACCAAAATTCAATTTTTTTTAATGAAACATAAAAGTCCCATTTTCTGCCTAAACTAGAAGAGCTACGGCTAAAGGATGAAAATCTGTGATCACTTCTAAATCCCACAAAATTCGATTTTTTGAGTGAAAACATAAAAGTCCATTTTCTGGCTAAACTAGAAGAGCTACGGCTAAAGGATGAAAATCTGTGATGACTTCTAAATCCTTCCAAAATTCGATTTTTGAGTGAAAACATAAAAGTCCATTTTCTGGCTAAACTAGAAGAGCTACGGCCTAAAGGATGAAAATCTGTGATCACTTCTAAATCCTTCCAAAATTCGACTTTTTGAGTGAAAACATAAAAGTCCATTTTCTGGCTAAACTAGAAGAGCTACGGCCTAAAGGATGAAAATCTGTGATCACTTCTAAATCCTTCCAAAATTCGATTTTTTGAGTGAAAACATAAAAGTCCATTTTCTGGCTAAACTAGAAGAGCTACGGCCTAAAGGATGAAAATCTGTGATCACTTCTACATCCTTCCAAAATTCGATTTTTGAGTGAAAACATAAAAGTCCATTTTCTGGCTAAACTAGAAGAGCTACGGCCTAAAGCATGAAAATCTGTGATCACTTCTAATCCCACCAAAATTCGATTTTTTGAGTGAAAACATAAAAGTTCATTTTCTGGCTAAACTAGAAGAGCTACGGCCTAAAGGATGAAAATCTGTGATCATTTTATTTCCTACAAAATTCGATTTTTTGAGTGAAAACATAAAAGTTCATTTTCTGCCTAAACTAGAAGAGCTACGGCCTAAAGGATGAAAATCTGTGATCACTTTTATTTCCTTCAAAAATTCGATTTTTTGGTGAAACAAAATTCCATTTTCTGGCTAAACTAGAAGAGCTACGGCCTAAAGCTGAAAATCTGTGATCACTTTTATATTCTAGCAAAATTCGAAATTTCGAATGAAAACCTAAAGCCTTTGTACTTGCTAATTTAGGTTTTGTTTTTACTTTTTGTTTATTAAATATTTATTTAATAATAATATCAAGTATTGTTGCCATGATGTCATTTACAAACATGTTTCTGACAAATACACATAATGGAAATATGTTATAGACCAACAAAAGCTAATTTAGGAAAAACTATAAGTATGTGAAAGGACTTATAAAGGATGTGTAATAAAAAGAATACAAGACATAAAGACAAATACTGAAATGTCACGTAAGCAGAGAATGACATTAGCAGAGACATGAAAAATCTAGCTGGAATCCATAAATAAATATTTATTATGTGTAACAGTTTCTTTGTGTTTTACAGGGGGGGGGAGTTAACTTGTATTAAAACTATTAGGGGGATTTTCAGGGTTTACTGAGAAGAAACCACCAATTGTGGACATAATTGAGTTATGTGGGGAGAATTTAGCTTAACTCAGCATTTGTATAGACAGCTAATGTTTGCTAGAGTAATATATGGTTCTATTGGAGAAAAGTTTTGTGAAATAATGTCCTTCCGGTTGTCCTTTTTGCCGCCTCTTTGAGGGGTTAAAAGAGCAAAACTAACAATCTAAGTTAAAGCTGAGAAAGCATTAATAGAATTTCAAGATTAAGAGTAAAACCCGCTGCATCACTCTGACACTTAGAAGAGATGAGGTCAGCATTGCTTAGGCAGACAATCTATTATTATGATAATTGTTTAATAAAGTACCAATTTGAGTGTAACAAAGAAATTTAAAGAACACTTGACAACAACTATGCTTTACTCAAAACCCTTTTTAAATTATCTTTTGTTTGCAGGCATAACGCCCAGTTATTTTGCGCCGGGACCAGCAGCAGCCGCTTATCATTTAGGCAGTCATCTAACGCAAACGAATCCACCAACATCACAGGTGAGTAGTAGCTACATAGTAATTTAAATTGTTACAAAATTGGGCATAAAAGGGTTCAAGTAAAAAAGCCGATCAACAATTAACTCAAGTACCTTGATTCAAAAAGGAAATGTGGTAATTGTTTCTTTTTTTCACTTCTCCAAACTACTTTCAAGGTCTAGTTTTATACATATAGAAGTACAGTAGCCATTAATTTGTTAAATGCTGATT